TTGGCTGTTGCTGATGGACTGCAAGATATTGTTCATTGAATTTGACTCAATGAAGATCATTAAAATCTTTAACAAAGAATCTGATCCCTCTTGAAACTTGATCAATATAGTCCCAAAACGTGCAATATATTTTGGACTCCTTCCCAAGAATTATAGTTGGTCGAAGGGAACATATACCCAGCCAATCAACTAAAATTTTTTTCTTATGGAGAGGTCACTGACTGGATCCTCTTTACTTTTTTTTTTTTTCACTAGATGTATTCACTCCTTTTAATTAACATATAGTTTTTTGGGGTAAGAAAAACAATAGCATATGCTTTTATATGAGTGTTTCATTATTAAGCCGTTACAATAGATGGGGGCTTGTCTTATTCTTAACGAAAAACCAATCGCTTCGTTGGAGGCTGTGGCATGCACTTGACAGTCGCTACGATAAGTTATTAACGAAATCTTGGTCTCATGACGACGACATAAAAAATAAAAATCTTGGTCCGATATTTCGTGTCGGTCGTCCATCTGACTCGTTGCGTGCCAAAACTCCGCTCATACGCCTCGATCCCCGTCGTGTTGCGAATTGATCTTCGATTTAGGATGTGGAGAGGCGAAAACACCCACAGGCGCAACGTCGGAACGAACTGCGTTAATTAGCGTTTCAGCTGTTGCGGCTCTCTTTCCGTTTCCGACATCAGATGCGATTTAACCTCCGACGAACACTGCCGGCATAGGGTCCACGGCAACATATCGTGACATTAGTTGTTTCGTAAACACGCTCGTTCAAAATACAATTTCTTTCCCTTTGGGAAAGAGAGGGATGATTGGAAATGGAAAAGGACGGCGACAGCTTCCTGGATTGGGATTGGGACCTTGTTGCTGAGGAAGAGCTCCGAGCCATCGAAGCCGTCTACTACTCCTCCGCCAAGAAGCGACGGATTTCCTCCGATCTTGACGCCGACGACCCTGCCCCCCTCCATTCGCGACCAAGTGGCCGTCGTTTGCCCGACTGGGGCCGGGCCGACGCCACCGAGTCTCAGTGCCATGGCGGGCACGGCGGCGGCGTGGCCACGGCGATCGCCGATCGGCCGCCGTCATCTTGCCCTACAAATGGGGCTTGGAGGGTCTCGCCACTTCGTTGCCCAGGTTGATTTCGTTCGATTAAGTTCATCTTTTCTTCAATTACGAAAGAAGCTTTTGGTGTTTCTTTAAAATCTCGGTTCTTTCTTGGGTATAGAGATTTCGTGTTCTTTTTCTTTTTTCCTTTTCCTTTTGGTTTTTAAGGCAACTTCATTAAGCTTTTGGCGTATCCTTTTTGTAGCTTTGGTTTAATAAACGGTGAATCAGCACAGTTGCGAAGCTTATATTTTGCTAAACGTTGAATTCTGAGCCCCTGAAAGGTGCATTGTTGTGTATATCTCATATTAATGTTGCAACAAGAAAATGAGATACAATATTGATATTAGCTGATGCATATTTGACTAAGTCTTTTTCTATATTTTGTGTACTTTTCACATATATATATATATATATATGGATGTATGTGCATGATTACCTCTTTGCAAGCAAAATGACATGGGGATATACAACACTCCAAAACTTTATTTCAGAATGACCACTGTGTAATGAAGTGCAGGTTCTTCTCTGCCACCCTAGAGTAAGGTCTGGTTGGAAATTTTTTTGTTATTTTCGGATGTATTTTCGCTTCTTTTTTTTAGTGACTATTTCTGATGGAGTTTAGAGTCATATTCTGGGTTGGGCTTATCTTTTTGCCTTATTATCGTAATACATAGGTATGAGATATCTTTTGAGTCACTAGGAGTTATATTTGTTCAGTTATGTTTGTGCAAACTCGAGTTACACTTTGTTGAAGTGATGATAACATATTCCCCATGTGCCGATCTGTCACTGATTCATTTTATTTTTCCGTGCTGGTCCTTAATGGACTGAACGATATTATGAGGAGGCAAGCCTTTTGCGAGTATGTGTCGTAAGGGTGACGTACAACTTATCATGAGAATAGTTAATGAAAATGATTATCATATATTTATTAGAAAGTTATATTAATGTATAATACAAATATAACTATAATAGATAAATATGGTGTGTTATCCACTTGGAATTTTTGAAGATACCGATGGCACCACTGACAAGTCTTTTATAACCATACATGGGAACTGTAGGGTAATGCAAAGACAAATTAAAAACCCTAATTATAATGATGGTCCCTAATAACCATACAAGTGGAGTGCAGGGTGACAAAACAAGATAGAACAAAAAATTATTTTATCATACATAGGATTATTTTTGAATCTTATAATATCCCCTATCTCTTTGAAAGCTTTCCTATTTAAGAGATTAAGGGCTGTCCTCTATCCTCCCTCTTTCTTTCCCTATATTGTTTTCTGTCTGTCTTACATAGTGGAGGATAATAAACAATGATGCTTGATGACACATTGGTTGTAGCAAATATTAAATGGAAGAAAATAGCATGTTGCTCAATTTTATAGTAATGGTCAAAGGTTTCTTGTATTAATCTCAGCTTTCTTCATCTCCATCCCCTGCTTATGTTATACTCTCTTCTTTCCCTCTTGAAGGTTGTCAAATAGAATTGGCCATTATTAGCCATTATCAGTTGAGTTTGATTGATTCTAGCCAATTCTGGCTGATTATTGGGTTATACCAATATGGAGTGGGCCGATTGCATTAGAATTGGCCAATACCATGAATAAACTCAAAGCCACTTTTTTTAATTAGTAACTTGTATCACTAATTCACTAATCATTTGGGCTATGTGCTTTAGTTCTTGTTTTATTGTCAAGGTCTAATTTTCTTGATTTATTACAAAGATTTGAAGAGCTCAAGAGCTATGATTTTAGCTACAATCTCGAATTTTAGAAATAATGTAATTCATCATATGATACCACAATGTAGAAAGTAGACACCAATATAAGCTTGATTTTGTAGCCCTTCACAACATGGTTCGCCTTACCGGTTTGTACCGGTGTACCGACCAATTGTCGGTATGGTATATACCAAGTTGTACCAAGTCATATTGAGCATACTGACACACAGTACATAGGAACATATCGATGTACCATCTGTATCGGTCCTCTATGGAACTGGTACATATTACCCATATTGAGTGGTACATTGTGGTACGATGAACCTTGCTTCACAAATTTTGTCATAAATATCTTATTTGTGTTAGGGTTAAGGTGGTTTAAAAAGCAAGTAAGATGTTAAAAAAATATATTAATTAACATGGCAAATACCATTGACTAAAGAGGTTTGGTTTAGCCTGATCAAAGTGATTCAACCCAAACAACTAAGATTGAAATATTCGCCAAAAGGGATAGGTTATAGTAATTGCTGCTATCCTTGTTTATGTAGATATCCTAGTAGATAATTTTGTTAGCAACACAAACATAGGGAATCATTCTGGTAAAATTTATCCCTGGTTGAGTCAGATTAGTAAAATATTCTTTAGACATACCTTTTTTCATATCTTTGATTTAGTTCAAAAATCTATTAGGATTTACCAAACATGTTACAGAAAAAAAGCATAGAGCAGACTAGCGTACAATTTAAAGTAAGAATGGATCACTTTTTTGTTTGTTTCATTTCTTTATAACTATAATTTTCTCTCTGTTGCCACTCTCTTCTTTTTTATCACTGGCTTTGTGTGATTGCATTTTTCTAATTTAGATAACAGCTATGGCAATGAACCAATTTCTTTTTTTAGATTTTTTATATATAAATGAGACCTTAGTTTTATGTTTACCTAATTTTGAAGTTACTTTTCACTAGGTACTTATATTGTGTGCCTTCCTATAATAGGCATGTGGCTTATCTTGCAACTCAAACGTAGTTTCCTATAGACATTGACAATTTAGTGCAACTTGAAATTCAACAAATTTGTTTTAGTTGGAAAACTTATTTTGAAAGAGAGATGTGATAACAGGTATATGATCACTTTACTCCTGGAACTACTCATTTCATCTGTACATGTGCTGGCAGCTTTAAATTAATTATATTTGTTAAAAGTTTGAGGCGGCATTCCATGTGTATTGTAGGTGGCTGTCTGGTTTGTGATAACATGACAATTTTTTTTTTCATTGGTATCAAAGATAATTTATTAGAAGCCCTAAATGGACACTTCTTGAGCATATGAGCAGATGAGTTCAAGTTCAGATTTACCTATATATTGCAGTAATGTATACATGGGAACACTTTACTGACTGGATTAATGTTTTTTTAATGGAAGGCATGATTTAGACGATCTTTATTTTGTCTATGTTCTTTTGTTGTAATTTCTGTTTCAACATTATGGAAATTTAATTTCAAATTCAAGTCGTTTTTGGTACCCTAACCTTTTGGTACTTGCATTTGCAATTTCACTTGATTATATTATTCTTATCAACCCTAGTACTGACTCTGCATTTAAGTAAAAAGAAAAAGTTCATCTTTAATCAGGAAATGAAAACATTTTAGTATCTGAAGAACTTGCATATATGCATATTGATAAATCTTGTTGTTTTTTTTAATACTAATGCATTGTAACTCCATCGGGCCTACCAGAATATAAATATCTTTATTAGTTGAACAAGATCCTGGTAAAATTATAAATGGGAGGTCTTGGTACTTTCATTGTGTATCACATCCAGAAAGATCATTATATTGCTAGGTAATGATTGTCCCTTGTTCCTATTCATGGTATGAAGTCATTGGTGTTAAATAAAAAACCTGTTAAATCCATGTTTAACAACTATTGGCATTATTAAAAAGTGTGCCTTTTAATATCTTTTATTTAGTTCCTGTATACACTATACAAAGTTTCATTGTCCTGTTACTCATAATGTTCCAATCATTTTTAACACTCAGATATCACTTTGGCTTCAGGTAATTTCAAAGTGAGATATCCAACAATGGCATATAGGGGGAGCATCATATACTGTAGGACTGCTCCAGAAGTTGAGCAAGCGAGCATGGAACTTTTAAATAAAATTAGATCTATGAAACAATGTATGGATCATGTCTCTCTTGGATTTGACATTGAGTGGAGACCTGTTTTCAAGAGGGGTTGGTTCTTCTACCAGACTGTTTCTTAAGTGACCTTATTTGTTCTCTTAAGCTGTGTTTTCATCCAAAATCTATGGTTGCTTGATTAACTTTCTGTGCTTTCCTAGTCTTAGAAATGAATTTCTTTTGTTTTCTTATTGCTTCTAGCAGGTATCTTTTTTCAACTACATGCCAATTAAGTATGAATTTGTGGTCTCCAATCTACAGGTGAAGCACCGAGGAAAGCTGCAGTTATGCAAATATGCCTGGAAAATGCCAGGTGTTATGTCATGCATATAATCCATTCTGGAATTCCTCCTGGCTTGAAGTGTCTTTTGGAGGATACTGTATCTGTCAAAGTGAGAATGCTAGTTTGATTTGATAATATATTTTTGAATGACTTTTTTTCTTGAGAAAAATTTCATTTGAATTTCTGAAGGTTGGAGTATGTATAGCCAATGATGCATGGAAGATGACAAATGATTATAATGTTTGTGTTGAACCATTAGAGGACTTATCGAGTCTTGCAAACCTCAAACTTGGTGGAGTGCCTAAGAGATGGAGTTTGGCTTCTCTAACTGAAATGATTACATGCAAGCAGGTTTTGTGAACCACTTGGTTTCTTTATCTACTGGTTTAATAGTTGCTTCATATATGTTCATCTGTTGCTTTTTTAGGTTCATTGCAAGCTAGAGATGTATGATACTATGTTTAATTCTGAGCTATTTGCGACATACAAAACATCACTCCTGCCATCATATAGGCTGAAATGTTCACAATTCTTGCCATCATATAGGTTCATTGCAAGCTAGAGATGTATGATACTATGTTTAATTCTGAGCTATTTGTGACATATAAAACATCACTACTGCCAAAATTTCCTGTCAGAGGTTCAAATCACAGAATGAAATATCGTAGAATAACCAGAGTGCAGCTTGGTATATACCTGTCTGACTAGGTGATAGTATGCCATTTTCCAGTGGCAAAATCCATGTAGAAGATAAACATAACTTTTCTGTGTTCCAAGTGTGGACAAACTGGTAATGATAGTAAGACTGATACACATTGGCACACTTGGGCTCTGATAGAGCTGCCAGTGTTAGTTCTTTGATTTGAGTAAGTTGATGAAGTTAAAATAGAATAAGGGAAACCATATGAATACTTATGGTAATTATTAAAAAGAAAGCACATAGTTTACATATTAAGTAGTAGTGTATAGTGATGATTTATACTTTTCTTAAGGAACTTCGTTGAGTGGGTCCTAGATGATAAAAATCTCTAGTAAAAGTAGTTCAAATCTTTCATTTAAACATTTGAATTTGGACATGCTATGAATCAAGGGACTACAATCTTGTGTCGGTCATAGTCGGACTACAACGTACTGATTGTTACCAGCATATTGTATGTTGGTACATCAGTACGTGTCGACAAATCCAAAAAAATCCCAAAAATACTTAAAAATTAGAAAAAAACCTAAATTAGGGTATTTTAATTAGAACTTAATGTAATATTAGTTTAATTTTAATAAAAAAATCCAAGTAAGGAAGACATAGCGAATTTATCTTTTTTGGACATTGAGTAATAACTTTGCAGTATGTTCCAAATGGTTCTTCTATTGATGGCGAGTCATCTTCAAAGATACGACCTAGATTGTGTGTCAAAACTTTAAGATTTAGACAAATTAAGTAATCATTGGATCGATCGCTAGATATATATATTTCCACCACCAAAATAAATAGTGGTATTCCATAGTTGGTACTGACTGACCGTGTTGGTCTTCAATCCTATGTATTTATATATTGATATGGTATGTCTGTCGGACCTAATCTTGAAATTGCTTCTATGAAATAGTATACAAATAAACTATATATCATTAGTGCTTCAATGTGGTGATGGTGGTTGCTTGAGAGTCTTGAACAACACATATCCGAGGAGATTTTTGAGACAAGTATGATTGTGGCATGTATGGGTGGGGAGGTTGGAGAACAGCGAAACTTATGCTATCGCCACTAGCCTCCTTATTATAAGAATGATTAACCTTCGAAAAAAAAGACTAACTATCACTAATTAACTATCACCATACTGTTGTTGGCCATAGAATCCTCCACAATATGATGGTTGGGAACAAGGTCCCCAAAACCGTACCGTATCAGTGTTTCGAGGCTGGCTCGGTACGGTACGATACGGTGTACCGAGAGGTACGCCAAGCGTACCGAGTGGTACACCTAATTTAGGGTGTAAAACCCTCCAAAAATACCTAAAAATAAAAAAAAAGTTTGGATAGGGTTTTTAAGTTAGAAATAAATATAGTAATAGTATAAGTTTAGCAAAATCAATGTAAATTAGGTAAGAATAGTTTCACATATCTTTTTTAGGTTTTGAGGAAGTCTTGTTCAAGGTTCGTATTTCAGTTCGTTATGGATTGTCCTTCTGTAAATATTGAAATATCTACAGAAAAATCAATTGAATTGTTTGACTATTTTGTTACAATATAAACTCTAAAATTCAAATGAATTAAATAATCACATATGTAGATATACCTGATTGTTGATTCTACCACCAAAATGAATGATGGGCCTCCACGGGTGGTGGATCGGGGTCCTCGATCCTATACATCTGCATATCAATATGATATGTTTGTTGGACCCAATCATGAAATTGATCCCATGACATAGTGTATTGATACACTGTATGCTATTGATGCATCAATGTGGTGCTGATCGTCATGAATCATATTTGTCCGAGGCAGCTCTTGAAGCATATATTGGTGAATGTCAGAGCTTCTACTTTCGCTACTGATCTGCTGCTCTGTATTGCTCAGAGAAGGATGACCAACTATCACCATACTGTTGTTGCCTGTATGATTCTCCATAATACGATGACTGTGAATACGATGAGCTTTTTTCTGTGTCTATATTATGTAGGCTCTGTCGCATCTGCTCAAATTCATCTACTTCCTTTCCCTTCCCCTTCTGCGTATAAACTTGACCAGTACCTTGTCGAGTTCCATGATCTGAATCTTAGGTGGCATGTGTAAAATATTGCTCCTCAGTCCATGCACCACCCTCAACTTGTATAGACGAGACCAACGACTGCCTAGCATCACCGCCATCATCTATCGAGGCACTGCTGTCCGTGTTGCTATCATGTCTTTGGACCGAGCGAGTTGCTGAATGTGATTGTGATGGTGTCTCGTTGCCCGACTTGATTCTTTCCAACGATGCAACTGATGCTACTGCCTTCCCCTTTGCCTTTGCACGCTGGGCGGACGACTGTGACCGTTGGGTGTCCGTAGTTTCCCGAGCAGTTTGACTCTATGTTGTTTGACTCCTGCCACGTTGTAATTGAGGGGGATTTTTCACCTGTTGGGGTTCTTCTTCTACTTCTATTGCCTCGGTGATAAAACGTGAAGGACGCTGAGGATCTCCCGCCTCATTAAGTAGAGGATCCTTTTGGTTTTCTGCTGCTTCAACCTAATCTAACATTGGCTCTGAATCTTCGTTGTAGAATTGGAGGTCAATGAGATCAATATATGATTCCTCTGGCTCCTTATCCAACTCAGCACATCGCAATCTTAGCCGCATGTTATAATAGACATATACTAGTTTCTCTAATCGTCTATATGAGAGTTTGTTGTGGACCTTTGTATGAATCAATGCAAACGTTGACCAATTACGTTCGCAACCACTAGATGTTGTCTGTGAAAGTACACGAACGGTAACCTTCCTTAAATATGGCTTAAATATGGTGCATCCCTTCCAAATTGTAGCCATCACTCGACTGCAAAAAGATATAAATAAGATTTTATTAGCATAACAAATAATTAACATTAAATATAATTGATAATCAATATGTATAACTTTTTCTCACCAGGATCCATAGTGTAACGATATGATACAGCTACAACGTCGGAGAATGAACCAACTGTTTCTCGAAATAATCGACCCTCCATAAGATCATCGGTTGCATTAGTAGTGTTTGGCAAGAGCCGAAATATAACATTTCGTAGTATCGTTAGGAAATCATTTTGCGTTCTGAGAGCATATCGATATTGAATTGCCGGGTTTAGATAATACGCCACAAGACATAATTTTATTAGTATGATTTTTTTATTATCTAAATAATAATAAATTAAATTATTCTGAATATGAATTTACCTACATTATGGATATCTTGATCCATATGAACTTCGGTTTGACGATCAATGATCCGTACGTATTGGTCGGCCTTAAAATCATCTTTGAATGCTCTCCTGACCTTCTCTCTCGCTGAAATCAGCATATATTTAAGATACGACATCTGTGGACGCTTGTCCATATCGACCTTATAGAGGACAATATAAAGTGGTTCCACACCTTTTATGATTTCTATCGTAGTCTCCCA